GAGCCCTGCAGGAGCGCGCCTCAACGCACTCAAAACAATTATAGCACCCCCGTCCCATTGGAGATCGATGCATACAACACATTCATTGTGTTAATTGACTGGGCTGTGAGAAGCTCGGCTCCATTAATGCAATAAGGTGTAAATCAAGTGAGAAAGGCCCAATGCAAGAGACATGACCCTGGTCCTGCGTACGTGCTGATGTCACCACACCACTCATCTGACATTATTCTAACAACACTTATCTGTCCACAGGGGAACACTCGGTACGTTTAGATGCACGGCAGGAAAAGCAGATAAATGGGCTCTTCCGACTTAAAGGTGCACTACGGAACTTTTCTTAGGGAGGGTCTGTCAAATGCGTTTCTTCATGGAGATGTTATTGCTTTGTGTTGAATGTTGAATATGGCATTAAACCTTTCTTTAAACCTAAAGACCAAACCAGACCACGTTACAGGTCAGATCTGTGGAGAGGCGACCTCGCTCATAGTCAGAATACCTGTTTTTCAAGGTATTTTTGAGCTATAAAACCACCTGTAATTGAATAAAAGTAAAGTAGAGCTGTTTAAAGGGACAGTCCAGAATTTTTGGCATAGGATTTGATTTCCTAGTGAGCCAGAGTGTTGGAGACGTGTGGAGACACTTTTTAAAAAAATATTCCATCCAGTTCTTGTATTTGCAGAGGTCGCTGGTGCTAGACTAGTGCACGTCAATGGTCATAGTTAACCTGCCACTAAAAACAGTCTTACCCACTCCACAAAACACTCAAAGCAAATCTATTATTACACCAGACTGTCCATGTGAATGTCTGTGTTGATAGAATAGTGTTTAAAATAAAACTAACCTTGCATCACATGAATCGTGGCATGTTGAGGGACTATTTTTTCATATATCAGTCCGCCGCTGCCGAGCTTTTTATCAGGAAGTACAAGTCGCTGCTGCTGCTCAGACATAAATCCTTCAAATGCAAGGTTGGTTTTACTTCTAAAATTATTCTATCGACACAGACATTCACATCGACAGTCTGGTGTAATAATAGATTTATTTCATGTGTTTTGTGGAGTGGGTAAGACTGTTTTTAGCGGCAGGCTAACTATGGCCATTGACATGCACTAGCCTAGCACCAGCGACCTCTGCAAATACAAGGACTGGATGGAATATTTAAAAAAGTGCCTCCACACGTCTCCAACACTCTGGCTAACTAGGAAATTCCAAACCGTCCCTTTAATGTCATTCCAGGCAGAGCAATAACATATCCATAGAAAGAAAGAAGGTGAGGGTTTGCCAACACTTTTTGTCTCCATGACGATGCAATAACTTCGCATGGAATGGTTCACAGTTTGGTATTAAATTTAAATCCTTACATTTTTTTCATTCTCCTTATGGTTTATTTTCTACAATCATGAATGAATAAACTTTTGTGCCTTTGTTAACATTACTATTAGTTTGTACGACCATAAACGAAAAAAAAAAAAATGAAGATAAGAACTAATTAAAAAAAGTGATTGTATTGTTGTTTGAGGATTTATTATATGGAACAACCTGAGTGATGATAAAGCTTTATACTCTCTGTCATTGTTTAAAAGGGTTTGGTACTGTTGCTTGAGCTTGGACCCTTTCTGTCATGATCCATGTAGTTGTAGACCATTTTTGTTTTTGTTTTGTAGTGCTGCAACATGACAGAATAAAAATAAATACATAAATAAATAAACTTAAATATGCCACCACCAGACCAAGATACCGTTAGATCTGTGCAGAAAATGGCTCACCTGATGGCCGTTCTTTGAGGAATAAAAACACTCACAAACATAACTGAATGATTAGAAGATGGATCAGTTTAATGTCACACTGTGAACCATGTCAGACAAATTAATACTTTCTCCATGGAGACAAGCGAGTGGAGAACCCGCTACGCAAAAAAAATTACGCAGTACATCTTTGAACCGATTTTTCAAAATGCACGTAAACACAGGAATGACGATTGAAGCGTCGTGAATCGAAGAGAAGCTGGTACAGACTCGGATGTCCACTGCATGTGACATTACGAGAAAACTTCCTTCTCCAAAACTTCAAAACGTAAATGAAAATGTGTCGCATGGTACAATGAAATGCCACTAGGGGCTTCTCAGTTCTGCGATTTTGAACAGAAAGTTAATGGTCCCTTTCGATTATTAAGGTTACAATGAACAAAATATATGACAAGCGACTTATGTTCTAGTTCTAAATATCTGAAAAAGCAAGGGTCACATTTAACGATACAAAAGATACAAAAGAACACAACCTAAGCTAAAATAAAATAAGAAATAAGACATTCTGTAATTGGCAGTGCTTAATGAGGTCATCGGTCCATATCTAAAGTAACGTTTCTGGTAGTCAGCCCCAAGGCAACTATGGCTACAATAAAAAAAAATAAAAAAAAAAAACATAAAAGTGCTGTACCTGATTTTACAGTCTTAAAAACGTTGCAAAAACTGTATATTTTAGCACATTTTGCAGTGTTCCAAATGTATTCCTCACTTACTTTTTAAGACAGCTCTCATTCAAACACCAATGTGAAGCTAAAAACAAGTAGCATGCTTACGCGCACTTCCTGATTATCACTCAAAATGTTCTTTATTTAGATGCAGACAGGACGCAGTGGCCCGATTTTGACCTAAGAGCTGAGTATACACCGTTCTCCGGACCTTCAGGTAGTACCGAGCTGAAGAACAAGAATACTTTGTAATATTTCGGAGTAGTTGAAGTTGCAGGATGTCCGAAAGTAAATAGATTTGTGGGATAATGGCACAATAATTCCATAAAGTGTGCCTTTTGCTTGACTTTATGAAACATACAGAGTAATGTCCCTGCTAAGTAAGAGTCCTCTGCACAAGTGTTTGGGGCTAATGTTAGACCTAATGGAGCGCACAGAAACAAGAGTCTGGGGAGGTTACATGGGGACAACAAGTACGAGTGTCCATATACAAGACAGGCTTTTTTAACTTATGAAATATACAGGGTGCTGCATGTGAATGGAAAAACTATACCGAGGTAAAATAAACTCAATATTACCTTACGGTAGAGGAGAGTTGAGAGGAATTGTAAGCACTAGTGAGAGCGGGAAGGTGAGTGACTTATAGCTTAGTGGGGGAAAGTGAGAGTAATATTTGTACCTTCTGCAAAGTTCAATAAGCCATTAAAGGGGCTGGACCCATTTTTGCTTTTAATTAAAGTGGGACTAGACACATAAACTCCTGCCACAACCACATTTCTGCTAAACTGCGCAGTACCTGGAGGACACCGCAGTGGCCAATGGAGCCAACGCACACTTAAGATTTAGACATCTTTGACCAAAATGTACCTAGTTTGCACTAAAATATTCAAAAATAATTAGGGATGATAGTAGGTAAAGTTAGTAAATCACCATATACAGTAGGAGTGTAACGGTGCATGGTAATGGCGCGCTCTTAAGCTTCCAACCCACAATCCAGAGCGCCCTATACACGAATCCACTCGGGTGTCCCAGCACGACTTCAGTAAACTACAAAGCCGCACCACCCGCAGCGCACGCAAACACACACGGAGCAGACAGCGACCACACAGTCAAACACACCCACACACACACTCATCACTCCACACGGAAGAGGAACGGACCGAAAAAGCGAGTGCAATGTGTCACTTCTAGCCACAACTGAACAACTGAGTCACTGTGAACATGCCAACAATTCAGTGGTCCCAGACAGCACCCTCCCTACGTCCCTAAGTCCGGTGCAGTTTATTTGTGAAAAAAGTTTGAAAATAAACCATTTAATGACATTGCGTCTTATAATCCAGAGCGCCTAATAGCCCGAAAATACAGTATTTGTACCAAACAGTTTCAGTACGGGACGCTTTGTTCGGTGCAGGGCTGTGCACAAGTGAGTTTACGCAATTAGTGTGTGTTTACATTCCGCCACTACATGTGCAGTCCGCGTACGCACGTGACTGGGGCGAGCAGTGTTTCCCGCAGCGCTTTAAAGTTAGAGCAGCCGCCTTGTCAACAACCCTAACCCCGCCACCTTCCCTCCTAACCACGTGAATCCTCGCTAAACTACGGTTGTCGTGCCCCAGTCCTCATTCTCGCCGGAACAGAATCTCCTCTCTCCAACGGTATTTTCAACTGCTTGTTCTGTTTTTTTTTCTGTCCAAAAATATGAAGATTGAGTAAAACTTCATGCTGGAACTGTAAGTGCTGTTTACAAGGAAATAATTTTTTAATAATATTTCATACATTTGCTGCTTATTTGAGAGTATTTGATTTAACTTATTAGTATTACTTTGCATTTATTTTATTTTTCCGTTTGTATAATGTTAAAACAAATGGTTGGTTTAATAAACACATAAATGGTTTTGCATTTTGTTCCCATACTGTACTGAAAATGAACCAAACTATGACCTCAAAACCGATGTACATACCGAATCGTGATTTTTGTGAACCGTTACAACCCTCATACACACAGTTAAGGAGTGAGAAAACGTACATCTGGTGTTTAGTTAACAACACTTGAAAATGAAATCTGTTTTGCCTCAGTACAAATATTTTATTAAAAGTAGCTCTTAGGATCAAAATGAGATTAATGTCTGCTTTAATAGTGTTTAATTTACTACAAAATAGGCAGTGCTTCCTTAGCATGCTAATGTTTGTTATCTGACAGCTGTGAAAAAGCTGAAAGGGCTTATAAACTTATTGAGGTGAATAATTAGGACGGCTGCGAATAGTTTAAAAATTAGTTCTGTTTTTCACATTTTACTGACAAAAACAGAAGTCAAGTACCTACCGCACCTTTAAATAATGTGTGAAATCATTTAATTGGTTTCACACAACAAAAAATGAATCTCATAAGAGTTAAGTAGAAAGAGGATGGCAGAGGCAACAAGAATTCAAGCCCTCTGGTCTGATGAGCACTTGTATGTGAAAGTTTTGATCCAATGCGGCACTCTAATATCGTCATTTTTATAATAATAGTTAAATTTGACTCTCTTACCAAAATCGGAGTCGTAGAAGAGCACAAACTTCTGCCAGCTGTACTCCGACACCACTTGCATGATGACCTCGTTGAGATAGACCGGAGGGCGGACCATGAGCGTGTAGTCGTCTGCTCCGGGGAGGCGGCTGGTGGGCGGGCAGGCGGAGCGAGGAGAGCCCCCAGGAGAGCGCTGGATGAACAGGTGAGGGATGTGCATGGCGTCTGCTAAAGTCTGCAGACTGCCGGCCGACATGCAGCCGATGGAGCTCACCAGGGCCAGGATCCCACGGTTCATCAGCTCGCAGGCTAAAGGAGAGACAGAGGAGAGAAAGAGAGAGGCGGGGTTAAGGGCGGAACAAGAGTTTGCCAAAAAGTTTCCATAAAGAATAAAAAATAATAATCAGATTTATATAATGCTTTGCAGTTTGGCACATTATTCATTCACTCCATTGGAAGTGAGGCTGCCAATCTGCACCATTGGCTCCTCCGACCACCAACAACACTTACACACTCACCCCACTTTCATATTAGGCAATGTGGGCGAAGTGTCTTGCCCAAGGACATAACAACTTTGTTTTGCTTCTGGCGCCTCAACTGTGGAATCTGTTATTTCCAGAAGTCGCTCATCCAAGCACTAACCAGGCCCGGCCCTGTTTAGCTTCTGAGATCAGACGAGATCAGGCTTTGAAAAGGAGATTTGGCCAAAAAACAAGCATCATCATCATCATCATCATCATCATCATCTGCACCATCGGCCCCCTCCAACCATGACCAACACTCTCACAACACTATACTGGACAAGGCGGGTGAAGTGTCAGGCAGACGCGGCGCTAACATTAGGCAACAATAGGCAGCCGCCTCAGTGCCACTAATCACCGAGGCTTCAGAGCAATTTAATTTTCCCTCAATATGGCATTAAATAAGAGTAGTTTTACTTTTAAACAAGAAAACACCATCAAAGTAGTATCTGAATATCTGATTTTAACTGTCAAATCATCCCCGCCAGCTTGACCCTGATTCAAACATAATCATAGAAACATAAATAAATAAATAAATAATACAGAATTATGATAAATAATAAAATAAAATAATAAATAAAATAATACAATAAAATACATAAATATAAAAAATAAAATAAAATAAAAATAATAAAAAATAAAATAAAATAAAACAAAACTACATTCAGCTCTGGTTATCTAGTAGACTACCTAACTAATAAGACAAGTTTCCAGTCCACTCTAATTCAACTAGAGATGTGTGTGTGTATCTCAATATATATAATATATATAATATAATAAATAAAATAATAAAAAAAAAAAAAAACACAGTGCATTATAGTGAGGGCCCCAAGCTCAAGTTCTCCTTGGGCCCCCAAATTTTTAACTCCGCCACTGTTGTCAGGACACAAGGACAGAATGATCCTAGCGGCAATCAGTATTTTGCGTTACCATTACCGCTTTAAATGTCCCAGATCACTTTTTGAATAACTACATCGAGTTTGTCTTAACAAAACATGAGTCTCAAGTCAATTATGGTTTAGTTATTGCAATGTGTAACCAGGTCCTATATCCAAACACATTTCCGCCATGTAGTCAGTCCCTCTCACAACAGTCTGATGTTGAACCACGACAGAGAAACAACTCTATGTCTGAATAGTCACGGGGAGCTGTTTCCCCGTGGTTTTCGTCCAGCAACCCGTCAGATTGATCGAAATCGTCTCCGTCAGTTGTGTCCTTGTCTAATCCAACATAATGTAGTAAATGAAGATCAGGTGCAGCCCCTTTAATGACTGAAAACCGGACTAACTTCAGTGTTTAAAGACTTCAAAATATATTTACGCACTGAAAACTACTGACACAATGGCCCCAGTTGGTTATTTTAGTTAATTTAATAGAAACATGGGTCTTAATTACTCAAAACAACTCAATTACTATCAATTCAAATAATCCTAACTTAAAGGTGGACTGTGTGCTTTTTGGTTTGGGTCCATCACCTGCGTATTTCTATGGAGATGTCATTGCTCTACCTGGAATGTTCCACAGTATGACATTAAACAGCTCTACTTTACATTTATTCAAATACATGTGGTTTTATAGCTTAAAAATACTCCAAAAAACAACCATTCTGACACGGGGCGAGGTTGTCTTTCCACAGATCTGACCTGTAACTTGATCTGATTTGGTCTTCATGAAGATAAGAAAGGTTTAAAGCCACACTGTGAAACATTCCAGACAAAGCAATATCTAAACAACATTTGATGCACCCCTCCACCAGAAAAGTTACACAATGCACCTTTAAACCAGCTGTAAACTAGGACAAAACAGGGTCAAACCAGGACAAGGATAATTTTTCAGTTGGATTAAAAGTATTTAATTATGTGCCGCACTTAATTATGTCTAAGGCAGATCTCTGTAATGAAGACTACCATGGCAACCGCACAGTTTGAGATCCAGGTCTTTAATATAAACCGTCTTTCATTCACAAATATGTCACTTATCCCCATTATGACTGAACCCTGTGACTTTAAATGACCTATTTTATATTTATATTATATTATATTTTCTTGTCTAGCTCTTCACTAAAGTCCTTGGGTAATTTGACACCTGAATTACCCATCTCGACTGAACTAGAGGTAAAATGTAGGTGTTAACTTAACTGTTAAAACTACCACTACATGACATCACAAGGTGTAACACAGCATTTTGAGCTTTGGAGAAGGTGATAGAGTAATAATAATAATAATAATAATAATAATAATAAATAATAAATAAAGTATTACTAAAATTAAATACAAATAAAAAAATAATAAAATAAAATACAAATAAAACAATAAAATAAAATGATTACTAAAATAAAATAAAAATTAAATTAATAATAAAATAAAATAAAAGGATTACTAAAATAAAATAAAAGGATTACTAAAATAAAAATAAAGGATTACTCAAACGTGTGAATGAAACAAAACATAATTTCAGGTATGTTTTTGAGGGGATAACAGAATTATAACATCGCTTAAATGTGCACGATGTAACTTTTTGGTTGCTTGTTTCTGTGTATACAGTCGTTTCTCACTATAAGGTGGTTCAGCTTTCAATTTTGCATATTTTTTTTTTTTTTTATTTATTTTTTTTAGAGCACATCGTGTTCCTCCCCATGCGTCCTGATTGGCTGAGGGACTGTAGACCACTGTCAATCAATCTCCTCCGTGCCGTGTCTCCTGTACAGTACAAAATGCGTTCAGCCAAGTTTACGTAAATATTCGATCTCTTGCAGTGTGATTATGAAGTGCTGTATGTTTGCGAGTTTTCTCCCCGACAAAACCCACAATGTCGACGAAACGTTCTGCACCGACCATAGACCGTACATATGAGTGGACGTAGCCACTGCATGCCGAATAGGAAGTTCACCAGAAGGCTCTTCCGGCTCCTTCTGACCCTGGCTCCATTTGTCTTTACATTTGGATCTTGTCGGTCTCTCTGTAACTGCCTGCAGTGAGCCTCGTCATTTTGGTCTTAAAATGTTACATGATCCAGATTTGTTTAATTTTCCACTATTTTCTCCATCAAAAAAATCCTATTGATAACATCCGAGCCTGGCTCCAGATTCGCTCCTGTAACCCTAAACATCTCCTCATCTGAGTGCCGCTGAAGACTATGGGCGACGTCACACTCGCTTAGTCCACTTCTTTTATACAGTCTGTGGCAACGACAAAGTCTCCTGCGGTCGCACCCAAAAGGCAGAGGAAGACGCAAACCATCGCACAAAAAGCTGGACTTCTGGACACGCTGAAAGACGGTAGAAGTTACGCGGCTGTAGGGCTCCATTACGGAATAAATTAATCTTCGGTTCATTACATAAAGACAGTGTTGGGGAGTAACAGATTACATGTACCGCCGTTACGTAATCAGAGTACAAATTATGAGTAACTGTATTCAGTTACAGTTACTGTTTCAATGAGTGGTAATTGGATTACAGTTACTTTGCTGAAATAAGTGGATTACAAGGCGGTATTTTCCTGTTTTCACATTTTGTGCTACATCCCATTTATTTATTTTTTTATTTCGGTAATTTCACTCATTGCCGGAAACCCAAACAGAACGCGCGCAATAAGAGCGATGTAAACGTCATGTTAAAGTTGGCGGTGTCAGTCACACAGTGGAAGCAGCAGTGCATTGGTAAAAACGCATTTGTGTCTTGGAAATTCTTCTCCCGATGTGAGATAAATATATAAAAAAACAAATATAAAATCGCCTACAACTTAAATGTGAAACAGGAGCTACTGGCACCGGTGAAAACAACCTGCATAGACTCATAATATCTGCACTACTGTCCTATACACAAACACACACACAACACACACAAACACAAACACACACACAACACAAACACACAACACACACACACACACAACACAACACACACACACACACAAACACACACACACACACACACACACACACACACACACACACACACAACACACACACACACACACACACACACACACACACACACAACACACAACAAACACACACAACACACACACACACACACACACACACACACACACACACACACACACACACACACACACACACACACACACACACACACAACACACACACACACACACACACACAAACACACACAAACACACACACACAAACACACAACACACACACACACACACACACACACACACACACACACACACACACACAAACACACACACACACACACACACACACACACACACACACACACACACACACACACACACACACACACACACACACACACACACACACACACACACACACACACACACACACACAACACACACACACACACACACACAACACACACACACACACCTTCATCATCGTCATCAACCTGAGAACCCGCGGACCACGTCTCCTTCCGTAGTTACAGCGTGGACACCGACGTCTCGTGCGCCGCGTGTGGACCGTGTTTTCTCGCGTAAACCGCACTTCCTCCTGTGCGCCTCTAAACCAGAACTAACACCAGGACTAAACCAGAACTAAACCAGGACTAAACCAGGACTAAAGACTAACCAGGACCAGGACTAAACCAGGAACTAACACCAGGACTAAACCAGGACTAAAGCAGGACTGAACCAGGTTTAAACTAGGACTAAACCACGACTAAACCAGAACTAAAGACCTGGTCTAGACCTGGTCTAAACCAGGTCTAAAATCAGGAGTAAACCAGGTCTAAAAATCAGGACTAAACCAGGTCTAAACAACATGACACCTAACAGTAGGTTGACATAATTTAAGGTGATC